ATTTGTGGATATGCGCTAATCCATTTTTCTTTTCTTTCTCCTTACACTTTGATGACTTCATATGTTCTTCTGAGAGTGTGGATGCTAGGTAGTTTGTCGTATTGTGTTCTTCAGACACAGTCCAGCATTCCTGATCTTTGTCTGTGTGTTCGAGTCTCTGTCTGGTCGGCTGCATAAGCTTTTCGACTCCGTCTAGGATGTTTTATCCTCGTCCATGATCTGATGTCTTGTTAGCTTATGTCCTTCGTCTAGGTTGTTCGTGTCCTGTTCTTTATTCCTTTGTGTAGGTGTCTTCGTCTAATGTATTCCCTTCGTTTGCTCAGCCTTTATCTAATGCTTGACTCATATCTCTTGATTCTGGTATAGATGTATATTCTCTATTCTTCAGCTTACCTGTACTTATATCTGAAACACTAACACACTTGTTAGTAATAACAATATGTATTATATTTGTCTCATTCAAAACCTTGCTAGGAATTGCTTTCGTCTTCGTCTGAGTTAATAGGTTCATCATCACACACCCTTCATCATACCTCATACATTTTACAACTTATTCATCACCAATCAACTATAAAACAACATGTTTATAACATGCATCTCAAGCCCGATGCCACTCATAAGATGCCTGGCGCCATTGAGGCAAAAGGGCTTCTTGTCTCGCTCATGCTTAATGTCAAACTATCCGCGCCTGACATGGTTGAGATAGAGAGTCTCCCACTCTCACACCTGATGCGACAAAACCCACATTTAACTCCAATCAAGTAGAGGATCTTTACCTGACTCACGTTCAACACCACTTCATTAGTGCCTGACATGAATCCAGGTAGAGATGAATCTTTCCCTTTACACCCAACATCATTCAAACCATACCTGTGTGATTCCAACCCAAAATAATTCTCTCTCCTCACACCTTATGCCATTCAAACCACGCCATCAATCCTGCGCATAATGTGAGTGAGATAGATACCCTCTTGGAGTCACGCTCGATACCTTGAAGGCGCGTCCGGCGCAATATCAATTTTTCCACTTATGCAGAAATCGATTTCCCCAAACCACCTGATAATTAGTCCAAAACTCAAATGCAATAAAGCACACAACATATATACAACATGAGAAGCATGCATCTATAAAAATTGAGAATCACCAAGTTTTGACCCAAACCACTTCCAAGCAATCAAGTCCCTAACACTCATCATCCCACCAAGAATCTACTTAATTAGCAACATTAAAGTAACATCAACAACTAAAATTCAACTTGCAATCTTAAACTAAATAATCACAAAGCTTTACTTACCTCTTAGAACACCAACCAACAAGAGAGGAAGAGAAGTTGAACATTCACTTACGACTTCAAAACTCGAAGCCCCGACTTCATAGGGTTTGATCCAACAATTCAATCAACTCATATCAACTACAAGAGAGAAATGAAAAGGTTTCTTGCCAAAGAAGAAAAGGAAGAAGGTTAACATAATTTAGAGAACTTCTCACTAGTTCATATCTCTAAAACTTTTAAAACTTGGGTTATGAGGACCGAAATTTAAAAATCTTTTATATCTCTTTTGAGTTGTCTCCACTTATTGTTGATCTAGTTGCCCAGAGATCAACAATATTTTCTACAAATTCTATCAATAATCCTTCAACTTTCAAATGCTGACAATGAATTAGTCTGAAACATTTGTTTTTCCACGCCTCAAACATGTGATACATAATCTTTTAAACTCTAAGATTGCTGTCCTTTTGCAGCAGTGTTTGACTTTATCTGAGACCAAGAAATTATTTGTCTTTTTCTGGTCATACAACAATATAGTCGTTATCCTTTTCTGAAAAAGTAATCACTTTTTTTGACACATGTGTGCTCTGTTTTTGCGTGCTTCTCTTCTCCTTTGTTTCTTCATTTAGATCACGCATTTTACATTGAAAGCTTTTTTGTAACAGACGGTGTCTTGGCTTAGAGTTTGAAGCGATTGTGATCCGAGTTGATAACAAGTCGGCAATCGAGTTGGCAAAGAACCCGGTAAATCATGGAAGGAGCAAGCACATTGACGTCCGATTTCATTTCATTCGAGAGCAGATCAGACAAGGAAAAGCTGAGTTGGAGCATGTCGGAAGCCGAGTTCAAGCAGCAGATATATTTACCAAGCCACTGCCGACTACACTGCTGGAAAATTGCAAAAAGCTGATTGGAATAAGAGATGGGAAAAACATTTAAGTTTAAGGGGGAGATTTGTTATGAAACTTAAATTAGGAGTTTTATTTTTGTTTTAATAATATTAATGGTGTGAATTATAGGGACATTTAAAATATGTAAACGTTGTTTTTTTTGTCAACTACAAATAAGTGTAATTTCATTTGCAACATGAATGAGAATATAGAGAGTTTGTTTTGCTCCCAAATTTATGCCCTTTTTTCATTAACAAAAAGAAGCATCACTGTACAAGACCAAGATTATTCTTTCCATGTTCTTTCATTCAGAAACGTTACAGGTTTTCATCTCTAATTTGGACATAATGTTTCAAGTGGATTGGGGTCTGTCAGGAGACGCCAAATGTCACTTCTTGCAGCACAATTGCGGATTATATATATGGGAAGATATTTAAAACAGCGTGGTAGCTAGTTCACCTGGTTTGCATCCGTATGGTCATTATGACTGCATAGAAATTGTATAATTTTCCAGAATGAAGATCCTAACACTGAACAAGTAATTTACCTAATTAACTTTAGAGATGTCCAAAGGATTGATAGGTTTTTTTTGTCTCTTTTATGAGTGGTCAACAAATTCATTGGAGTGCTTGAAAGATTTTAGGTGAATGGTATTATCTATGGGTAGGGCATTGTAATTTCTGGTATATTTAAAAATCAACTGACATGAACTTATAGAAATTACATTCAACTTTAAAAATATTTATATGAACTAAATTAAATTACGACATTAGTTTGAATGAGTTAAATTGAATAGTTATTTTGTTTCATTAAATTAAACTGTAATGTATTATAAAAATTTGAATAGAAATATAATTTAAATTGTATTAAATTGTTATGATATTTTAAATTGAACTATTTTAACTTGTTGATGTATTAAGATAAGACAAATTCAATAACTTAATTTTATTTTATTTAATTTTTTCAAAGAAAAATATGTAAAAAAAATATCAAACCAAATAGATTTGATAGATAGTTCAAATTTGGAAAGTAGTGATACAACATAGTCTAGTTGACCCATCAAATCTTTTCAAATTGACACATTTTTTTTATAATAATTTTCTTTGAAGCTTGAGTTGATAAATTATTGAATTATTTCATTAAGACAAACTATTTTAAATACATTTAATTTTTACTCTTTTATAAAAATAGTTTAATTTTTATAATTCATTTTTTATAGTGCAATATAATTCAGTTCTCTGTCAATTCAGATCAGTTTTTTTTTAAGGGACATGTTGGCTGGTAGGATTAGGGCACCCTTATATCCCCGTATTTAATAATCTTTCTTTTAGTTGACAAAAAAAATCCCAAAAATCACTCAATTACATTTCTACTGCAACATTAACACTTTATTACCATGTTAGCATTTATCTCAAGTATTGATAGTAAAATAAAGAATGGACAAAAGTCGACAAAAAAAAACTCAATTTTAAAAATTAGGTGACTAAACTTGCAAAGTTGCAAACGGAGGGACGAAAATTACATATTCATTATATTATGAAAAAAAAAGTGTAATTATTAGTTTTTTTATTATCTATTTTGATTATTATATTTTGAACTTATTATCATCATTTTATGTCTTGCAAGGTTTTGATTTTATGTCATGTAAAATATAACAATTTTTTTTAATATAGTCCTTATATATATTTAATAGTTTTTATTATTAGTCACTATTTTTATGCTCACCTAAAATATAGATATCCCATCACAACAAAAATTAAAACAAATAACGACAAATATTGCACGAATAAAAAATAAAAATAATTTACAAAATTAAAACTGAAAATACTATATTTACATAACATAAAATATATTAAGCCTATTTTTATTATTGCTAGAAAAAGTGACATATTCTTATGTAGGTAATAAGTAATCCAACATCATAGAGTTTGTTTTAAATTCATTTCTTTCTTGGTCTTTGTTTGGTAATCGTGTGCAACAATACATATATAGCAACGTGCACTCATATTGTCCACTAGTTGAAATTTATTTACTGTACTTAGTTTGAAATTATGGACAGCATTAATCAAATATTATAAGATATAAGAAAGGGATGGCATTGAGTCAATTGATAATTGATAACAAGATATAAAAGGAAAGGCAGAGGGCGGGGACCACTCTCTTTTGTTTTGAGTCAATTTCTTCAAGGATCTTGGGAAGTTGCATTGCCCCACGAACACTATGAGATCCATATGTAAGATCATATATATCGAAAGATACAAACCTAACTCACAGCAACAAAGGGAATTGCCTGCCACTGTGTTCCCTTATAAAAAACTGACCTGCAGGTCCTGTTCATGAAATGCCATGTGTCATCAATGAGTTGAATAGCCACATGGTGCGCATACACATAGACATGCACACTTTTGCATAATCATGAGTTATATATCAGCTAGAATATAGTATATAACTGCATATATGTTTTTTGTATTAAAAAAGTTTAGGTAAGTTAGGTCGGGATAAATCATTAGTTCAAGACAGAAGTCAAGATTCAAAGAGTGTTTAGTGATGTATTTATAGATTATTTATCAATAAAATTTTTACATCGTAAGAATCAAATCTATGTCTTGTAGTCACAAGATTCAAAGAACAATTACTAATATGTATTTATAATTTTTTTATTAACAATTTCTTTTAAATATATGATGAGAATCGAGCTCCCGTATATATAAAATATGAATTTGTTCCTTACAAATTAGACCTACATTTAATGTTTATATAATTACATGAATTGTTAAATAAAATAACTAAAAACTGCTCTTATAAAGCATATATATATATTGGGTACTTAACCACAGCTGAGAGCAACGTGTCTCTGTTTGACAGGACTAAAGTATACAGATGGGTGATAACATAGGCAAAGGCTCACACAGAGAAGGGTTTAAGTACAACTTCACAGCTTCAACTACAGCTGCAAGTGATACCTGCTCTTTGCAAGATGGGGTCATCAAGGAGCAAGATCGGTTGCTTCCAATAGCTAACGTGGGGCGGATCATGAAGCAAATCCTTCCTCCTAACGCTAAAATCTCAAAGGAAGCTAAAGAAACCATGCAAGAATGTGTGTCCGAGTTCATCAGCTTTGTGACTGGGGAAGCTTCTGACAAGTGTCACAAGGAGAAGCGCAAGACTGTGAATGGCGACGATATTTGCTATGCCTTGGCTACCCTAGGGTTTGATGACTACACTGACCCACTTAAAAGGTACTTGCATAAGTATAGGGAGTTGGAGGGGGAGAAAGCCAATCAAAATAAGGCTAACAACAGTTATGAAAACAACATTGAAAACATGTATAATTAGGGAAAGCTGAACTTCCTCCAATTCCCATGTTCAATTTGATTTTGATTGGTCAAATTGCATGCTAGTAGTTGTTGATCTTCTAGTTTTCTCCTCATTCCTGACACTTGAGATATTCAAGGTGCTTGTATCCTTATGTAATGACGTGAGCCATTATATGCATAGACATGTGTTTTAGACTTGATGAACACATAGTAGCTTGAGAATAATGTGAGTCATGACTAATCTTTGTATTTGTCTGTCCAATAATAAGCTTGAATTATTTCAGTAGTCTTGAGCACAATAACGCATATGCATCATCTTGACTTGTAAATTGGGAATTTGAAGATCTTGGAGCATTAGGTAACTTTTTATCCTTAATTGTTGTCCCGACTCATGACTTGTAAATTAGGAATTTGAATATCTTAATTTGAAAATTAGCTAATTATTAAGGTTACATCCGAGCTAGTTCTCAGTTTTCCATTTCTAAGTTCAGCGAATAGTTATATAAGGCTCTGCTTAAGTTAATCCCTGTAAGAGATTGACAAAATAGGAGATTAGCAAAGAAAACTTTGTAGCTAACCTCCTGTGTTTGGAGCTGGACTAGGAGTAAAGGAGAGCCGGGAGCAGCAGAAAGCCAAAATGCTATAGCTAATCATAGTGCACACACGGTTAACAGATAAATAACCACTTTCTGTGATTTGGATCTTATTAATTAAGATGTACGTAACTGAAATCTAATTGTGATGCAATTCTCCATTTAAAAACTGATTTCTTTTTACCCTAACTAATATATATATATATATATATATATATATATATATGTGTATATGTATAATGGATTCATTTCATGAAAATATGTTTTAATGTGCATATATATGAATATCAGATGTAACTGTTTTTGATTATTGTTTTCATACGATTAGCTAACATAACTATGATTGATGCTGTTTGTTTTTGTCAAATTGTTTTGCTTATGTTTTAGTCCAAATTATATTATGCTCTAATTTTTATTATTATTTATATATATATATATATATATAAACCCTCAATATTTAGAACCTAGTTTTGTTTAGTTCCATTCATTACTTTTGTACGTCCTAGTTTGTTCCTCTTTTAATTGTTTGAGTTTTTTTTAGGGTTTGGAATCCTCGCTATTTAGAAGCAACTTTGAGCATCAATCAATCTGACTAAAGTTAGTCGAACTCACTTAAGGAAATAAATGTCTCATAACACCCTTTTTTTATTCTTTTTTTACCGACAGAATTTCAATCCACAATCTTAAAAAAAAAAATTATTTACTATTTGAAGCAACAAAGGTGGATTAAATGATGGTTTCTGAAAATAATTTTGATGTATCATTAATTTTAACACAAATAAAAACAAATTATTTACTATTTTGATGTATCATTAATTTGACATCAAATACAAAAAGTTAAATTATTAATTCTACTATATCAAAATAAAAGAGACATTAAAAAAATTAACAGTCAAGACTAAATGATTAAAAATTGTAAATATATGAACTAAAAAAATTTATCTTAAATTTTACGGATTAAAAATGATTAAAAAATACATATATAAATTAAAAAGATATATTTTAAATTATAAAAAAATAAAAATAAATGAAATTATAGAAATTAAAAAAAATTAACCTTTAATTTATTCGCGAAATGAGATGAAACAAAGAAGGAAAATAAGAAAGATAAGAAGAGGATAAAGTGATATAATAACTAAAGAATATGTAGAATAAAGAAATGAAATAAATGATAAAGTGAGTAGATATTTTATAGCTTTTCATTAATTAATTATTCAATTAGCAAGGTGAGGTAAATCAGTAAATGACCGAATACTATAACAAGTATAGAAGCTAACCAATGATTTTAAAACCGAATACTATAACAAGTATAAAAGCCACCCGATGCTTTTTTCGGTGGGCGCGCTTTGATTTTGGAATCCCCCTATAAAAGAGAGCGTCCCTTTTTTTTAATAATATTTTTTGAACTTATAACTTAAGTTGTAAAAATAAATTTAATTAGATATATAAATAGTGTAAATACTTTTTACTCTATCATTCAATTACATACTACATCAACAAAATGCAATATGGTTGATTGGTAATCTAATACCTTCAATATGCAGTCGAGAATTTAATTTCTAATTTATATATATATATATATATATATATATATATATAATATTTGTTATAAGAGATCATTCTTCTTCAATAAATATCAGTATATTGAGATATTAGTTCTTAATTTTTATTAGTTAGAGAACCCTTTCTAAAAAAATTCAATCACATATTATTATATATAGTAATATTTTTTTTTTTAACTTTTATAATAATTGTCTTACATTTAGAAAGATTTTTATTTGATTGATAGTGTAAAAATGTTTAAATTGGCGGTACATTAAAGTTAAATTGGTAAATTCTCTATAATGTAAGTTAAGCAATAAAACGTATCTATAAAAAATGAATATAGATTAAATAATAAGAATTTACTTAATTCATAAGTTTTATTTTTATGTAACTTTTATTTCGTAGTCTACATTTTCCACAAAAAAACTAATATAACATTAATTTCTATTTTAGAGAGAGTAGCCAATAGTGAAGCCTTGAATTAGCCTTTGAATTAAATGAAGTGCTTATTATTCTATTGTTCTGGACTGATATATAGAAATATGCAGATAACAAACATGTATCTTACTTATATATACAATTAAATTGAAATGGAAAACAACATTAAAGACAAACCATTATGTCTACGTGGCTGATGTTTGTTTCTATTCCTTGACTTTTGTCGGAATCTTAATGAGTTACTCATATAGTCCAGTATCCAATATATTTTGGGTAGCAGGATATGTTCATATTCATAGGTAACGCAGTTGAAATTCAAAACCCTAGCAAAATCCTGGGACCACATTTTTCGGCACCCACACATGTTTTTGTCGTATTGGATTTGAACTCCGGTGATTGCTGGGTCTCGATGAACCTCACACGTTTAATTTATTCGGAAGAATTTGAATCATCTTCGAACAAGTGAGATGATTCTGTGTGTTTGTGTGTCTATATATATATTCTTTGTAAACAGAGACAACTGTGTCCTATTTTGCTTTCTTATAGCTGGTATATATGTGTTGAAAATGAACGAGAACTCGAGTAAAAGAGATAAGTTAAAGCAACAAGAATACTTCTTAATATATAAAAGCATATTATATATCTCGTACCTTATTTTAATTAAGTACCATTTGGGAAAGAAGTTCTCAGAAAAGTTGAAGCATATAATAAAACAAGTTTAAGTTAAACTGTTGTTGCCCGTTTTTATTTTTTTATTTTTGACAGATCTTGCCATTCTTTTTAGAACCACAAATAATTGAATTGAATAAAAATACACTTCAAATAAAAACTTTTTTTTTAATCGTAACAAATAGGAATATTTGAATATAAATTATTGTATTATATTCGAATCGTTGATATTAAAAGAAAAATGCATATTTTTTAAGTGGTCAAGTTATTACTAATTTATAATTTATTATTATTATTATTATTATTATTATTATTATTATTATTAATACATGGTTATATTTATACGGTTATACATCTTATTTCTCATGGAAAAAAGTGTTTAGTATCTATATTAGGGAACAAAGATATCTGTATGTGCTTGGCTCCTTCGATCCTAAGTTTTCTTTAAGTGTTTTGGTTACTGGGTTCTTTGAAGAGTGAAGTCGTTCCTGTAAAAGAAAATAAGTAAATATTCGATATAGAACGGTAAATATTAGTAATAAATGAGTGAATGAATTGATGCAAATGCAACATGTCGATTATCAAAATAATGATGCATGAGATGATTGTTTTGAATTAACTGGATAAGTATCTTATAAGTATCTTGTGTAGAGATGATAAATGAATGGGTTGGATAATTTTTTAAGATAAAATAATTTATTAATTTATTTAGATTTATTAAAAATTCACATAAAAATTCAATCCATCTATTAATAATTATGAATGAGTATTCAATTCATTCATAAAAATAATATTTTAAAATTAAATAATTTTTATTTTTAAAATATTTTAATTTTCTCTTTTTTCTTTATAAGTTATTGGATTTGATCTTTTAAAATTTGTAAGATTTTTCTTATATTGAAATAATTTTGTAAAACCTTAATCTAATAAATATCTTATATTATAATCAAATAGATTTTGAAAAAGTAATTGATAAATTACTAATTATTCATAAAATAAAATAGATGAATTGGATATAATTTATTATTTATTTTTATTAAAATGAATAAATTTATTTATAAGTGAATCAAATAAATAATAAATAAGTAGATTCATTTATAACCGTAATCTCGTACAAGATTTAACATGCTATTTGAAGGTTTGGAGAATTAACATATTAACAAGCATAATTGACCACTTGGTTGAACATTTAATGTGCCAAAGAATTAGTTGGACATGTTAAGTGTTAACTAATAAAAAAAAAATACATCAATTAATCATTTTGTTTCGGATTTCAAATATGTGAATCTAATATCTGAATTAATTAACATTGAATTTTAATTAATTTGTTTTGGGTCCAATTCGAATTGGAAAAAAAAAATATGAACCAATTTAATTGGTACAGTCATGATCATAGGATTTGTCAGATTGACCTGAACCAATAAACACTCCTAAGTGTCTATCCTTGTGCAAATGAACATGCTTTTTGGCCATACTTGAGGTAGGCGAGGCATCCCGACAAAGGGAAGGTGAAGACGAGGTTGATCGGAGAGGAAATGTGAAGATGAGATTGGTTGGAGGTCTTGGGTGCGAAACACCACCACCACCACTGACAATAATGGTTGCCATCAGTCCTCGATCATCATCATCGTTAGAGAAGAAATTCGTGGAGTCCAGTTGTGATTCTCGTCGGCTGGAAGGAGTTGGAAAACCAAAGCTAGCAATGTCATGAGAGAAAAAGCCTCTTCTTAGGAGAAGAAGTGATGAAACTTTATGTTACAAAAAAAATTGTGTATAAACTAATAATAGAAAACTATGAGAGAGAAACTTTTCATTTCTCTGAGACAAAGTAATAATAGCTTTGTAAAACATAAAATTTAAAATGGATGGCAACTGTATTCAAATAAATTTAATATGACAACCGAAACTAGAATTTTTTACCCAACCGGAATTTCTTTGAAAAAAAATTAACAAAAATGCATTTGTTACACTTTATTTACATATCTAGCACTATTTACTGTTCACACTCAAAATTAAACCGAATTCTGAGTAATTTTTAATTTCTTTATTTTTTTTTAGTTTGTGGCCCAGATTGCGTGAATCTTGGAACTGGAACGGCCCGTTCTGGAAGTAGAACGGCCCGTTCTGGAAGTAGAACGGCCCGTTCCAGAACTCAAGTTATGCGTTAAAGCTTAACTCTAGAACGGCCCGTTCTGCAGCCGTTCCAATTTTAAAATTAACAGTCTTCGTGTGCAAGCAGAATGGTTCGTTCTGCTTCCGGAACGGGCCGTTCCAGTTTCAAGATTAAAAAAAAATAAAAAAAAAATTAAAAACTACTTAGAATTTAGTTTCGCGGGAATCGAATTCTGATCACAAAAAAAAAATTTGAAGCTCAGAATTCGGTTCCTCGTGAACAGTGAATGATGCTAGATATGTAAATAAAGTGTAACAGGTGCGTTTTTGGTAATTTTTTAAAAAAAAATTCCATTTGCGTAAAAAATTCTCGAAACTAAGTCACCCAAAGAATAAATTTAAAGTACAATTTCATCGAACCCCAAGCGTGTGGTTCAGCGGTAGGGGTTGATCCATGCTTAAGCAAGGTTAGGGGTTCGAATCCTGCCTTGTGTATGTAGTCGCGTTAAATCTTGGGGTCAGCTATCCCATCCTTTGAGGTGTCTCCAACGTAGTGAGGATTAGTTGTCAAATCAATAATTTTTACTCAACCCCACTTTATATTAGAGTTGTCAATACGGGTCAGCCTGAGCCATTTAACACGACCTACTGCAACCTATTTTTTTAAGTGGGTTGACCCGACCCGACCCACTAAATTTATTATACAAATTTTCCTAGCCCGACCTGGTCTACCACGGGTGAGCCGGGTCGAAAGTGGGTCGGGTTACATTTTTTAACCCATCATAAATTTTTTTCATTTTTTTGGTCTGCCCGTTTTCAAGGTGGGGCGAGTTGACTCACGGGCTGGAACCCACTTTGACAGCTCTACTTTATATATAGACCTATATTATATGTAAAGTTTGCCAAATTAGTTCACTAAAAATCATCTAATAATACAGTTGAAATTTATGTATGTTACTTCCTTTTTGGCTTAAAATTTTTTCGATGATCTAAGCATATCATTAATGTTATATGTCATATACATTGATTTGATATCACAAAAGTTAGGTGGATAAATAAAAAAATTATAAATTATTGACTAGCATAAATTTATTAGTTAGATACCTATATATATATATGAGGAGAGTTCAAACGATACTAGTGTAACTTTTATTAAGTGTTACACCGCTTAATAACTTTATATATATATTAGGATTTATATATATATTAGGATGAAAATAGACTAGGTAACTTATTAGGTGGCTTGGCATGATCTACTTATTAAAAAGTCTAATAAGCATGATAAATCAACATATTTATATAATATGTAGTGTAATGTGTGTGTGATTAATAATATTTTTTTTAATATTTAAGTCTGTCTATTAGTTTGTTTATAAGCCTTGTATAGAATAGGCTATGAATTTATGTTGTAGCGCTAGTCATACTAGAGATTGGAGTGAGTAAAATTCAGTATTATGTATAATGTTTTTTTAGACAAAGGGACACTAAACTGAGGGTTAAAGTTTGCTATCATCCCAAGTAGGTTGACACCAAAGTAAATAGAAATCCAAGACAGTAAAGGCCGATATCATTAACCAAAGAAAGAGAAGATAAAAAAGGAGCATGAAGAGACGAAACAAGACGCATGGTAAAACAGAACGAAGCACTATCTAAACATATAAGAAGGTATAATTTGTCTATCCCAAACAAAAGAAGAAGATACAAAAGATGGGGTAACCTCCCACCAACAACAGTCCTGTCAAGAAGTTCCATGTGAAGCAAGTCTATCTGTACATGTATTTCCTTCACGAAAAATGTGGTCCAAAATGAGCATAGTAAATTTAGTAAAAAGAGCAACATTTTTCCATCTATTCCTAATCTGCTAAGGGACCAAATTATAATCCTTGAAAGCTAAGACTATCGTCCGAGAACCACAATCCAATCAAAGGTAGTTCCAACCTTTTGCGTGAGCAATCTCCACAACTTTGGTAGCAGCTAAAAGCTTAGCAAACTGAGCATTTTTAATGGCTATATTAAAAGCAAAGCATCCCAAAATGTTAGCACAATGATCTCTAAAAATACCTCCATAATCTGCAAGGCCTGGTGAACCTTTTGCAACGTGATTCGAGTAGCATTTCACCCATCCATTAATGGGAGGGTGCCTGGAAACTCGTTTTTTTCTAGGATGACAAGTGACTCCAAAAACCTTAGGCTTGTTGAATTCATCTATGTTGGGAACATAGTGTTATTGGAAGCATCTCCCGCAAGCCTCACATGGGCTGAAATAACAACGGATGCCCTCTGGTGATTAGCTTTAATATTTTGAAATCTGCACTTATTGCCATTTTCCTAAATAAACCGCACAAGTTATAATTTAAAGATATAAAAAGTAATTTTAACACACAAGTTATTATATATATTAAATCTGACTTCCTAATTTCTTTGTTCAGTTGCATCTTAACATGTTCACATATGTCCTTTATCTAGTTAGACAGATTGTTTAAATTACGTATTCATAATTTTAGCAATTCAAAACCTTTAAATTTCTAATTTTTTTATCAGTAAAAACAATCAGATTCAAATCTAAAACTTTATGTGTGCTCTCAATCCTTTTATCGTCCCTAGACAAACAAAAAATATTTCATATATTTTAAATGATTATCAATTTTAAATTTTATCCATTAAAAAAACCTCATTAATTACATTTTTTAAATAAAATTATTCTTATCAGTTGATGTTTTTATTGAATAGAACAAGAGAATATTAATAGAATTAAAAAGAATGGCATAAATATTTTTCTTAAAGTTAATTTTTTTTATAGGAAAGTTAATTAAGAGGATTTAACTAAAAACTTTCTCAATTTTATTTATAGCAAATATAATTAAGAAAAGGACGAATCACAACAAAACAAGACATTAACAACATATCGGAATCTATTCACCCAATAAATAAAAAAATAAAAAAAAAACAAATCGGAATCTTAATTCGTTCCTTTACTGATAAAAAAGAACATACACTGTGCTTAAATCATTGTTCTAACTCTCTTTAATTTCATTATTTAAGCACTGTTTTATTCTTTCAAAGTTCATAAGTCATTCCCACTTTGACCATACGCATATGAGGAATATCAAATACTTTATCACTTTGCCTCAAGTTCTTCTTCAAGAAATTGTAAGCATAGTCTATCAGAAATCTTTTCCATATGCCAGCTCCTGCGCTAGCAACAACCTCACTCTCACCAATCAAATGAACAACACCTCCTCGCACTGCTTTTTCAATAGTCTCCACCTCACTCTCTTCCACCACTCTATCTTTATCACCACCCTTTTGCACCCAATCAATCTCATCACCGCTACCACCTTTGGTTTTTTCTTCACTTTCATCATCTTGCATCAGCATCACTCTTTGTGACGCCAAAAATCCACCACTAATAAACTCCTTCAACCTTTTGACCAACAAATAGTCAAAAGGCTCTTGCTCGTTGCGCACGTCAGTGTATCCGTATCTAGCAACACACCGGAACACGTTGAGTTCTTCATGTTCCACTTTGCGAAATAGAAACCTCTCTTCCACAGGAACTTTGCTAATGGGCAATGATTTGATGGACACAAAGACAACCACGGAGTGCAATGCAGGAATATTTACCACGTAGTGTTTGAAAATGGGTGGAATGCCTTGAACAAGCTCGGAATAGAATATGGCAAGGCCATGCATTCGAACTAGGTTTGTCCCAATAGCTATCTCCTTGAGCTTCTGTGGTGAAATCTTGTGATTCAATTCGTAATGGTACTTTCTTCGATATACGTCATTCCAGATGTACATGATGATCATTAGCAATGCTGCAAAGGCAAGAGGGAGATACCCTCCTTCTTTGAATTTGTATAGCACTGAGCTTAAATAGATAAGCTCAACCGATCCAATGATGAGCACATAGCTGATAACCAAAAGTATGTGAGTCTTCCATATCATGATCATGATTAACACTAGCAATGCAGAGGTGAGTGTCATCACGAACACCACTGCTATCCCTGCGTGCACAAATTTATGTATTCACTTTTGAGGATACCGAAAAAAAAAAACTCAAGTATTATATCGACCACAGATATGGCTAAAATTAATATAATACATAAGAGATAAACAATTCTTAATTTAAATCTGTTTTATAAGGTTTAGATAGAATTCATTTTACATTTTAGTAATAGTATACAATTATCATTTTATAAGTTGATTTTATATAGTCAAGCTTGTCCTAATCCGATTCGTATGTTTGTAAGACAAAGTTTTCAATGTCCATAATTTTTTTGCTAAAGTCTAATTAAGTTTGTAGACCACCAAATATGTTAATGATCTTGACCAATCTTCATGTGACATACAATTGAGATTTTCAATTTATAAAAGAGTTAATAATACTCAATAACATGTTACATGGAGATTAGTTGGGATTATGATCTGGAAGTATGTAATAATTTTTCTTAATTGAAAAGGTTATATATATAAGAGAACAATATGAGAGTTTGAGAGACTAAGTTACCATAAGCATTGCCAATTTTTTCGGTAGTTTTAAATCCAGCTGTGACTGCAACACATGCAATCATGAGAATGAAATTGATTTCTGGGATGTAAACTTGTCCTTCGTACTTGGCTGATGTATGCACTACTTTCACACGAGGAAAACATCCAAGTGAGAGGGATTGTTGGATGATAGAAAAAGTCCCGGAGATCATGGCTTGAGAAGCTATGATGGATGCCATAACAGCAACAACAAACATTGGCCAATATAAATGATCTGCAAAATATGAAGCCATCATGAATTAGTTGCTATAATACAAATTGAGTTTTATATGAATCGAACAAAAGTCTGATTGGATACAAATTTGAAAGAGTTTTTTTTTTTTTTTTTTACTGAAAATAAAGAACTTTCTTCTGTAGAGAAACTTTTAAAATGAAGTCTTTCTAACTTGTATCCAAAGACTCTAAAGGAGAGTGGCCGTGTTTATGGTTTTATGTTCAAGTTGTAAAATTGAATTACTTGGTATGGACTTGAAGAAAGTGTGTGGAACAAGGTCCTTGTGTTTGCGAAGAAAGGAGGCTTGTCCAGTGTAAGCAAGTACAAGAGCAGGGTATGTTACAGAGCACATGCTTATCTGTATGGACCTCACTGTGAAATGTCCAACATCAGCAAATAGTGCTTCAGTTCCTGCAATTTTTTTCCTCATCAAGTTAGAGCAATGGCAAACATAAGAACAAGAATGATTAGGAATTACATGTATTATATATACCAAAAAACAAACGTACCTGTTATAGCCAACACAACACCACCAAGAGAAATCCAAGCATCTTTCTTGTTCCTTCTGAAATAATCTACAATGTATTTTGGATTTATTGCTTTGAGAACTCCTGGATCATACTTGATGAAATTGTACAGACCAATGCCTCCGATGAAGGCGAACCACACACAAATGATAGGAGCAAAACTGTAACCTACTTTATCAGTTCCGAATCTTTGAACCATGAAAAGGCATATCAGGATTGCTATGGATATTCCAACAACCGTACCTAAGCACAAAGAAAGGAATTTGCATGAATCATTATCATCCTATAACTTTGCTATGCCTTAAAAAGTTAAAAGCAGAGTATCTAAGGTATTATTGTTATAGTTTCATACATTCTGAACTCCTGGTATTAGTTCTCAGTTTAAATTTTTCGGGCCAAAATTAATACAGGTACTATAGGATTCATATAAAGTTAATGAATATAATAATTGGTAATCAATAATTTGTGAAAAATTAATGAGCACGATAAAAAAAACATTCTAAACCGGTTTACGGCAGGGGTTATGAAACGTGTCTGCTTATGAAAATTATGCATTTGAATACATGATTAGAAAAAAGAGAGAAGATTTTTCCTTGTTTGCCTTGCGGTCCTTGTTTTATATTTGATATTCATACAAACGGGAAAAAAACAAATTTCTTTTTAGAATACATATATCTTTTATTTGAGACAATTTTATTTAGAAGATCACATATGAGTTGGATATGACTCTAATTTAAGACATTTAGTTACACTAAAACAATTTCTTGATAATTGATCAACATACTCGAATCATAAAACAATTAAATATAAAGAAATATTCGTAATTTTTAAAAAATACATATTATTAATTAAAATTTATTAAAAACCATAAAATTATGAGTGAAACTTGTTAAATATATTATTGGTCATAGTCTTGTGTATTTTTTTTTTTAATTTCTTTCAATACTTCTGTTCCCTGATTTAGAAAAGAAACAAATGTTTTATGAACACAAAATTAGGATAAAAATAGTCATCTTTTTAATTTTGGAATATGTGTATAAAAAATATGAGAGATAAAATTAGTTACCAATTATTTTATTTGATTTTTAATAACGGTAGTAAAGAAAAATAATTGAAGAAAAAGAAAAAAGAGTATGATATACTCCCTACCGTCAGTCAATTTATCGTCAGCTTCCTGGATCCCTCCCACGGCAGATAAAACTGCAAACCAAATGAAATATTATTTATTTCATATGTTTAAATAGGTGATGAAAATAAAATGAAAACGTGGATTCTGGAAAATAAAATAAAAAAATTAGAATAACCAGAGATGCAAGGTGTGAGAACGCCATCCCCAATGACCATGGAAGTGCCAAGCATGGTAACTAGCAAGAGGAAGAGTTTGGCAAAGTAGCTATTCTCAAGCTTAGACTTAAGCCTTGAAGCCCTCTTGATGCGATTATTCCTAGGCAACTCCAACTTATAATTAGACACTTCTGCATCTTCAAGTTGTTGATTTGGAATAAGCCCCACTTTGGCATAACGACATATCAAGGAGTATAAAGCGAAAGTCCCTCCTACACAAATTAATTATCACCCATTCATATTATTTATCATGCATGTAATATTTTGCATAAAAAAAAATCTTCATGTTTTAATTCCTAGTGTTGAGTATGATGGTGCGTACCATCTCCGTTATCAGTGGCCCGTAGGACGATGAATACGTACTTAAGAAGAGGAATGAGAGTGAGAGTATAAAAGATCAAAGAAAGAACACCCAAGATGTCATCGTCGTGCTTTATGCCATCAGAAAAGGTACTTGCATACACATATAATGGTGATGTTCCTATGTCTCCGTATACAATTCCGATGCTTTGAAATGCTAGATGCATAATCACCGACGTCGATAGCCCCTAGTTGAAAACCATTATATGATATGATTATGAAAATATATAATAAATAAAGAGTCAACCTTGTTAACATGTGAAAGATGTTAAAGGAAACATAGTGCATACTTTAGCGGCATGAGAGGATCTAGGGAAGCTGCGTGATTCCATGTCGAGAGAATCATTTCGTGGCAATTTTTGCCATGAAACCTTCTTCTCCGTGAGCACTGGTTGATCAGAAAGTACTGGTTCCTGGCTCTGATGTTGATTTTCAATGTTTCCATTGCTCTCCACACCCACCATCCCTACTTCGGAAGACATGTTGATGGTTTGGCTTATGAATAACGTTATGTTTAGTAGTTAATGAGCCAACACGCTCTCCTTAATTCAATCTCTCTCTCAAAACAAGCCTCGTACGTACGTACGTGCACATGACAAGATCGATGAAATTTGTGATCACCAACCAGAGAAGCAACAAGAGCTCATATGGTGGGGAATACAAGGACCCTATGGAAGGCTTGTTTAAATAAACAATGCAAAAAGGAAAAACCCTGGACTAACATGTACCAACTCTTTGAATTGATTGAAAGATATTAGTTTTTGGAGTAAATTATACTACTTTTTTTTTTTTTCTTTCCTGCCCCATGTATCTCTCACGGACTGTGATCATTGCAAATTTCACGAGTTTCTATGCGACGGCTGGCATTGAAATACATAATGTTTTGCAACATCGTAGATAAATCTTTTGTTCTTTTTACTCTTATACAGTTATACTAACTCTTTGAAAAACATGACACTAACTTATTTTAAACATCACAATAATCTTTTTAATTGTTTGATAAATATTAGTGTCCTTTTATAAGAGAAAAAAATGTTGTTGTAAAGTTAAAAAATAAGAGATTATTATGTTTGATTTCATAAAATCTAAAAGAAGTAATAGTGTAATATACTTTAATTTTTAATATTGTTTTCTTTGCTTAGTCATCTGATATTTATCTTTTGTCTTTTTCCCTTCTAATTTTTGGAATGGGATGAAATCTTCCTTTTTATCGTAAAATATTTAAAAAAGACAACGATGACTTTGTTTCATGTTTCATTCATAAAAAGATACATACCCTTTATTAAATTGAATAATAATAGTTTTTATTTAGATACGATTTAAGCAGACATTTACATTATTGTTTGATGCTTGTTAGTTTAAGTGGTAAAAACAAAATAAACTTTTACTTTTTTATCACACACAAATAAATTAAAGAATAATGTAAATAATGTAATATTTTTTTAATAAATAATAATGTAATATTTAACTAAATGCACAAAAAAAATCTTATGACTTATTTAAATATATTTAACTAAAAGTTTACTCTCTTTTTTTCGTTGTAAGGCCTGATATAACCATATAGGGATTGAATCGATATTTTCAAGTACGATCCTTATCAATATTAAAATAATATTTAATTAATAAAAGTTATATTTTATAAGTACAAATTAATATTTAATTATCAGCTTTAGAATGCTATGTAGATCATGTTCATAAAAAATAATAAAAATACCAACCTCACTTATTTAAGATTGCTTGTTTCTTGAATATAGGATTGTTAAAATAAATCGATCTAATCCACCTCAATCCACTTTCAAAGTAGGTTGATCCGATTTGATTCACCAACTTTAATGTTCAAAATTTTATAATCTAATCCAACCCACCACAAATTGATGAGCTAAACGAACCACTTACCAACTCACCTATTATTTTTTTTAAAAAATATAATTTAAAATAAATTTCATAAACTCCAACTAAAATAGCCTCTAATTTAAAATAAAAATTGTCAAACTAAGTATCATGCATACAACATAAAACTTAATTAAAAAAGTGTACAACTTTAAATAATCAAAACAAAAAAAAAATAAAAGATTCTTATTATTGTAGAAATTATTCATTAATATTAAACTTCATTGAAGACTTAAGTAGATAAATCTATCACAATTTCATTTTGTTTAACATCAACTTTATTTTTCTTTACAAAAAAATTATAACTTATTAAAATAATGCATATATAACAATAAATGGTTAAGTGAGCCATTGGTGGGTTGGGTTGATAGAAATTGTAAGTGGGTTAGGTGGGTAACTCGGTCCATCACGGACTCAACCCAGGTAGACAAGGTTAAAAGTGGACCAGGTTGAATTTTTGGATCAATTAGAAACTTTTTTATTTTTTTTGTCCTATTCACCTTATTTTTTAAGGCGAACTAGATTGGCCTACATGCTAGAACCCATTTTGACAACTCTACTTAAATATTAAACTGAGGTTAGAAAGCTTAAAATAAATTATAATCAGATGATAAAAATATAATAACACTCCTCTTTAATAATAATAAAAATAATAATAAATTATAGAATGACTTTTAAAAATTAAATTAAAAAATATCAATCAATTTTTCTTAAAATACTTTTTTTTTTTGTTAAATAAATTTTAAATGGAAGTTATGTTATGTGAGTTGCGTTCTTTATTTAGTAAGACTTAATTTAATCATAAACAATAAATAAAAATATATAATAGATTATTCTCCTTCTTTAATACAAATTATCATGGGTGGGCTTCTTGTAAGGTTTATTTACCCTTTTTTGGTGAGTATTTATGATTAATTTTCTTTCATCCTATCAAATATATTTCTTTCCATGAATTCTTTTATTAGTGAAATACTTTTATAATGGTAATCATGGCTTTTTGATATGCTATTTCGTAAACGTGTAGAATACGTGTATGGTATAATGGAGTAATTTAATGGGACAGATTAATTCTCCAATTGGAAGAAGTTGTTAGACAATACAAAAATTACAAGTTGTTTAAACATTAGGGTTTACAAAAAATCATTTTTGCTACGTGATTAGTTTTTCCTTTTAGGTTTGGTGCATTCACGTTTTGCTTGCTGTCGCAACTGGCTTGCAACACTTTTTTCCAGCTTTTTACAAACTTCGGAATCGTCAAAGTCATCAAATCCCAGTCAAAGAATGTCGCATATCTCTTACGTAGTTTTTTTTTTCTCCCACTAATCAAAGGGCTATTAAATTATACTATCTCTCCTACGTCGATTTTTTAAGAAAATGTTATTTTTATTTGTATGTGATTTTCAAAGTTTAAAATTACATTAAATTTTCTTAATTTTTAATTAATTTATACATTAATAATTAATATACATTTATTTACAGAGTAAAAAATGAAAGAGATTTATTAAAAAAGATCAAAATCATTTAATGAAAAATTGAAAATTTTATTATGTTTATTAATTTGTGTATATAAAAACCCCAAGCGTATAGTTCAACGGTAAGGGTTGATCCACGCTTAATAAAAAAATAAAAAAAGGGAATAGTATATAAATTTAGAATTTTTATATGATACTTTGTACTAATTAAAAAAACTAAAATGCACTGAAAATAATTAAGTACATTTTAACCAAAAAGTAATCAAGAAATTTGAGTCCAGAAAATTGTTTCCACTACATTAATGGCTATTTTTGTCCAAAGAGCATGAGTGTTTAAATGATGCAGTGCATTTCCACCTATTCTATTTCTTTGCTCCTTGCTTTTTTAGGCCTATTTCAAAAGCAGTCACTCGCGCTTTCATCTAAAACAAAAATTTTAATCTCATGCTTTTATATGTCTCATTATAATTTTCACAAAAATACAAAGACAAATGTTATAAAAAAAAAATGAAAATAACATTAGAAATTTTTTATTAAAATAAGATTTATTATATAAAAAAATAATGTTTAGAGCGTGTAATAAGAATTGAAAATCCCTGTTTCTTTAGTGATGCATGGAATATGAGAGTTCATAATTTGTTACTATAGTATACTGTCTGCATCTGTTTGGACAATCTCCAAGAATTAAGCTGGCTAGGAATTGCCGGTTCAGATACGCCAAGTAACATTCACCACTTCAATATCGAACTTGATAATGTTATTTATTTTGTGCTTTAGTCATGAAAATAATAATAGCGCTTTTTCAAAGCGTAATTATTGAGGAGGTTGCTTTCAGAGTTTTTTGATTGTGTCAACAACCATGCAACATTGTTCACAGATTCTGTGTGTTGCCGCTGCCTTCCTTGCTATGCAATGCCATGAAGTTGAATAAGGATGAGATTCATGAGAATATTCCAACCATTGCGACAAATTATCCGCGTCGGATTTTGTTTGGCATGGAAAGATTTTACTCCACCACATACCTTCACTTCAATTTTGTCTCTTTACATTCATTGATGTTCAAATGAATTTTGTGATTGGATTTAACTCTCGTGAACGGCCAACAAAGTTGATTACGTTTGTTAAAAAACATATGATGTAGCATCAAGTTTGCATAAATATATAGCTATTCTCATTTACAATTTAAAAAAAAACAAATGAAGGGACATTTTAATATTTATTTGGAGGCTAAATCAGATTTAGTGCATGTTTAAATGCACGTCCAAGTAATTAAAACTTACGTTTAAGACGTGAATATCTGAAATTATTCAATGAAGCTTCTATGTGAAAATTAACGTAAACGTGATTTTTTTTTTAAGAAATTAGTGCATGTGAGAAAACTGATTTAAAATCACGTTAAAAAAAATACTTTTAAACGTTATAATTTTTTTAAATTCAACAGTTTCCAAATTCATGATCCTTACCGATTTACAATGGTAAAACAACTCTGGCTGCTTTTCCATTTTCAGAGGAATAGGTTCAGTAGCACAGTTTTTGAAGTTACCCAAACAAAACTGTCAAATTTCTTCCAAAATTGTTTTTGGCTTCAATTGGTGGTTCTGGAGATCTCAAACAGAAGGCTAAACACCACAGAATTTAATTTTCATAAAAGGAAGAAATGGATTAACTACTGTCAATGGAAGATTTTCAATGATGTCATCGTTTTCTTATGTCATATATGAAGCAGTTGAGAAATCATGGTGCATATCAATACCATGTTTGGATAAACTTTTTTTAAAAATATATTTATGAATAATATAAAATAGGTTTTCTTAAAAATTAAAATTAAATTATACATAAATAAATTTATAGAAACTTTTTATACTAATTTCTCAAAAATATATTTTTTAATTTATGTATAAATTAATTTTAACTTGTATATGAATAAATTTATCTCTTTTTTTTTCCTTTCTAAAAAGTCCCTTTTGAAGAAATTTATCAAAAATAAAACTTATTGCATTGTAGATGGAAGATACAACTCTGCCCTCAAAATATGCTTGAGTGCTAAAAAGTCTTCCAAAGGAAGAATGTGGGAGATATTTAGCTAAATTTTTATCCGTATGTTGCATTCACATAAATGTGTGTTTGAATTCTCATTGATAATTTATATTTTAATAATTTTTCACGTTAAAATGTTAAGACACACTAAAAATAATAAATAATTATTGAGAAAAACCTAAGTCTCACATCGACTAGAGATTAGGCAATTGAATAGTATATAAGTGGAAAGCAACCCTCACCTTACAATTCGGTTTTGTATGGTTAAGTTAAGCTCAAATCCACTATTCTAAGATGGTATCAGAG